CGCCATCGCGTCCTGTCCGCTCGGGAAGCCGGCTGCGCTTCCCGCCCCGCGGCGGCCCTTCTGCAGGAGCGCYCCGCAGCCGAGGTGAGGGGAAGGCCTGGCGGCCGCCGCTCCCGCAGCCCGCCCTTCCCCGCGGGACTGCCCGGGGCTGCGCTGCCTTTGTCGGAGGCGTTCTGGGGAGGAAGACCCCTGAAATGTAGTGTCGATTGCCACTCAYGGTCCTGCCTGATAACCCCTTGCGCTAAACTCGGCTCTCAGGGTGTTTTTATCTGGCCCCTGGAAATGCCTAGAAAAATAGATGACTCCAAATTATTCAAGTGCAAATAAGGCCACAAAAGAAAAGACACCTGAAGTGGCTCTGTATAAGGCAGATGGGGTCCCGTTAAGCTTAGCAGCAGAGATATGCACTGTCTGAGCTGAATTGCTGCAATTTCAGGTGGAGGTCCGAGCGTGGTAAAAGGTTCTTGTCTGATCCTATCTGGGTCCCACAAATAGGATCTGCTGAACCAGAACTAGTAAATATTGATGGACTGAGGCTTCATGTCCTGAAATCAGGTCTGCCAATGCAGTGCTTCCCATTCTGTCCCAGTACACCAGACATTTTCTCCCATTAGGCACTGTGATTCTCCTGTTACTATTTGGAAACTGGATGGTGGATTGCATAGTCACTGTACTATCCAGCAGCTTGCAGAAGTAATCAAGCGTTGATGCAGAATATGATGTCAAATAAAGTACACACTCCTGGTACTGGAAAAGCACTGTTCTCTCTGACATATGTTTCAAGCACACTTCCACAATTTATTGTTTCCATTAAAAAGTATCTAGTAATCTGAAAATCGATCTAAAAACCATTGTTCTAGATACTACGCTTGACACATAATAAAAAGAAAGCTCATGCCCTGCAGAGCTTGTAGCAAGAGCAGATTAAACATGTTCTAAGGATTCCCGTTGAGACAGTTGTGCGGGTTTTCTCAGGTCTYGAGAACGTGTTGCACCAGTACAAACAAACCTGCCAGAGCACTTTTCCAAAAACCAGCACACAAACACACAGGTCCAAACAAAAAGGCTGAAGCATTAACCTACCTTGAAACTCTCCCTTTGCTTCTAACAAGCCCTGCTGACTCTGAATGACCTCTCAGTTCTCCACAGAAGCGAGGGCCGCAGCTCATGGAAACGCAGCATCTCTCCCGAGCGAGCTGAGGGCAGAGCAGCAGCACACACAAAGGTGATGGGTTTCTCCACAGGCAGACACACGCACGCACCGTGCACCGCCTCTCCGGCTTACCTGTCTCGTCTTGTTTTAGCCATTTCTAACGAGCAGGCAGGGTACTGGAGCATGCAGAAATCTTGCTTTTTGAAGTACCTTGAAAACGGGCTCATGTTTTTTGGTACCTAGGTGGCCCAGAAGAACTTTTCAGGAAGCAAGCACCAAATAGTTAATAAAATAGGCACAGCTATGGAGGAGCCTCAGCTTCATGGCTCTTGGGCTTCTCAGTGACCTACAAGAACCAAGAAACTCCAGCAGATGAGACTGAAACTGCCTCTCTTGCTCATTCTTCAGTGCCAGATCACATCAGGCTATAAGATACCTGAGGACTATTTGTTTGCAGACTGCTGGAAGACAGAGATGGAATCACCTATTGGTGAGTCATAAYCACACAATTGCATAGGGGTGATGGCACAGACTTGCAAAGGCACAGATAGTGATAATACCTTAAAGATGTCTTCTTCCCCCTCTACTTTTTGACAAAAAAAGCAAAATATTTGGACTAGATCATCAGCTGTGGCAAAGCAATGTAACTCCACTGCTTTTGTCAGGGCACAGATTTACACTTTCTGAGGTTATAGCCCATTCTGTTTATTAAAAATTGTTCTTCTTGAGCAGATTTTTACTTCCTTTYTTTAAAGTTGAGTTTTACTCTTGGAAAAACGTCTAGCTTGCAGTGCTCTTGTAAGCCTTGCTTGACAGGAGAGAAGGCTAATCAGATACTGGGTCCACTGGCATGCAGAACAATAAAAAGGAAAGTGAGAGTATCTCAGGTCCTTACTGCCACAGTAAAACTCCAAAAACAAAATCTGCAATAGAGCTGTTCTATCCATCCTATACCTTCAATTTTTCATGATTGCTTTCACCAAACTGTATTTAGCTTGCAGTTGGAAGGCTATAACTCATAGACATGCTTATCCTGTCTTGGCTTTTTGTAGCAACACTCTAAATTCAGTTTGTGAAGGTACATCATCGATTTTTGTAGGTGCTTTGATCCAAAAATAACTCCTTGATATTTTCACCCCCACTTTAACTTCTGCAAGAGGGGAGCTTTAGACAAGACATAAGCTTACCTGTCCACCATGTGACATACAGACTTATGCCAAGAGTTTAGTGAGCAGCTGAACTTGCTCATCAGCTACAGATCAAGGCTATCCCAGGCATTTTTGAAATTAGAGTATTTTTCGGAGTGATTTCTAGTAGAAACACCCAAGTGGAATTACTCTCTTTCTTTCTTTCTTTCTTTCTTTCTTTCTTTCTTTCTTTCTTTCTTTCTTTCTTTCTTTCTTTCTTTCTTTCTTTCTTTCTTTCTTTCTTTCT